AGTTCTTAATTAATTTTAACTTAGAGAAACTCCTTTCGCTACTTGTTACATTTATTGGTATCGTTAGCAATATTCTTAAAGCAATGGTAAGATTTGGGGCAAAATTTAACTTTGTAATTAAGCTCAGTACATTGCTTAGGCTTTCTTTTTTGCCCAGAAGAACAGATACTGCTGAAATTTCCTCTGCTAATTCTATCCCCTTTATATCAACAGAATCACCCATCAGTTAAAATGCATTCTAAATTCTTACAGCGTTTTAGTAGCATTTCTTTGGACATGATATTTAAATCGTATATACAGTATTATATAAGAATTGTAAATAGTTACTATGGTTACTAACTTGTTCAAATCTAGCATCTAGTGCATTTAATGCTTGATCGATTGTAAAATAAAAAAACTCTATTTTATATTTTTCTTTTGAATCTTTGATGGGTTCGTATAAGAAGTTTCTTTTCTTTCTTCTAACATGGTGTCGTGTTATTGTTGATCCAAAATTAGCCTCCACATCAATTTCGGTAGCAAGTTCTTTTGCATCAATAATAGTTTCATCGAAGACGAATCCGATCAAAGATTCTTAAAAAATATTTTGCAGTTTTGTAAAAGATCAAGTGCAAAGGCTAGATCAAAATCTTTGCTTATTAGATTAACGGAATTTAATATTTTATGCCAAATAACTAATTAACAAAAACTCTTAAATTGTTTAATACAATTTAATAAACCCGAGGCCTCGTCTCTTATTAAATTATTAATTTCTAGGCTTTCGTAAATGCTTAGCGAGGTGTCGTATACATCTCCCAAATGAAATCTCAAAGGCTTTAAGGTGTCTATCCTACTTTCCCATCTAGTGTCACTCAATGGTTTCAAAGCTAAACCTTGAACATGTTTTAAAAGTATTGCCCATCGAAAAGTAGATGCGAAAAAAATAAATATATTTTTTGGACCGTGTTAAAGAAATTAGAAGCTTCCAAGGATGCTTTTGCCATATCATTAACAACAAGATTGAGAGAGTGGCTACTACATGGAACATAGAATGCTCGCGAATTATATTGTTTAATTCTAGATTGCACTCCTGCCTTATCGCCCCTCATATTGGATCCGTTGTCGTATCCCTGCCCTCTGATATCCTACAAATTTAAACCCAAGTCATTATGTTCTCCAATTATAATATCAGACATTTGTTTTCCTGTGGATCTTTCGACTGGTAAGAAGCCAAAAAAGCTTTCATTAATTTTAATTTCAACATCAGCGTCAAATTTATTGATTGAAACATATCTGATTACAAGAGTCATTTGCTCTACTTACTAATGTCAGGAGTACAGTATAAAATTATAGAAAAATATTTTCATTTTTTACTTCATCAATAATATGAGACTTTACACTTTGATGCAGCAGATCTATTGATATTATCTCGTTTTGTATATTTTTTTCCGAGATAGTGAGCTTTAGTCTCTTCTTTTTTTTAGCACTCTACGGACCTGCTCTTCCATAATGGGATCAAATTGAGATAGCAACTCAACTATTTTTAAGAAATTACCGTTTTTATACTCAAACAACTTGTCGCTTGTACCTTGAAAAGCCAGACCACTTTTATCTAGCATTTTAGTAATTGCTACGATTCTTAGAAGCACCTTGTTCCAATGATTTGTTTCGGCATTAATAATTCTTTGAGAGGCCGCATCTATAGTTTTACAACACTTTAACCTTAGGTTCATTTCTAGCCATGATTTTTGGGCCTGAATATGATTTTTGGAAATTTCATGCTCTTTTAAAGTTTCGCCGAGGTGTTTCCAACTTTTAAAACCCTCCTTTGAAAGCCGGAACTACACAGCCGGAAATTTTGCAACAGAAACAATAAACGCAGTTTTGGGAAAGAGAGTACGCTAGCCAGTCTCGTAAAACTTGCTCTCCATTGCTTAAAATTCGTGTACTGTATAATAATTCACGCGAAAATGTCGACCAGTGTCATTGGTAGGAAATTTGTAATTATGCAATGGTTTAGGTGGACCTTGTTTTACTAAAAAACTTCTTTCGGTGTCTCCTAAAATTCTTGGCCACAATGCTTGATCTGTACTCAAAGTTTGTAGAATGCTTTCTGTGGGAGTCATGTTGGTGTCAATTTTTTCAATGCTTTCATCTGGTGATGATAGAGTCAGAGTGTCGTCAGTTCCAATTAATTTAGAAACTTCGTCCATTTGTTTGTCATCATCATCCTCTGACGATTTTGTATTTTTTTTTATAACCGGACTCGATGTTGGATTCTCAGAGTCGTCATTTGTTTTGGTACAACTCTGGATATAATTTTTTAACGCGCCAGCTTGTTTCTGCCTTTCGGCTTTCTTTTCCAGCCTTCTTTTCTTTGTAATGGTAATCAGGCACTTTTCTTTGACCGTTAGACATTCTGGAAGAGGCACGCGCATAACTCAAATTAAACAATGTAAACTATAAAATAATATTTTAAAAAAATAAATAAAGATTTATCCTTGTTCTAAATAAGCTAAAACTGTAATTAACATAACTTCAAAATTATATTCTGTCAATGGACATAAAAAATATTTATGGCTTACACATAATATTTTTCGTATCCTGTGAACGTAAAGAAAGTCTAGTGTTTTTATATATGTATTTTATAATAACAAATATTTCAGCAAACAATAAATAGTCATTAACTTCTTACGAGTCATGTTGGTTTAACTGTCACTATCTCAGGTAATTAAGTTTTATTATATACGTAACATATAAACCATTGTACGTGTATCCTAATTTTTTCAATGCACTCTGTAAATTTGTAAACCTGTAATCAATATACTGATAAATATGTAATAATAGGACTGAAGAGGGGCGTTAAGTCCGAAATGCATATTTCGTTCACACGAATAAAACAACCTTTTTCCTCTGAAAGTGTTCCTGTGTGATATATTCTCAACGGGAACATTGTGCTAAGAAAATATGTATGTATATAATTCTCATTAATCCCTTTTCTTCCTGATTCAGAGTTTTCGAGAATTCCGAAGGTATCCCATATTAATAATGTATATACAGGCTTAAATATAAATTTTTTGACTACCTTTTCTTACCCTTAACGAAAACACCCAAAAATATTTAAAAATGAACACAAATTGTAAGCAAAAACTAAACAGGTCTAATCCAGGGATGTCCAATCTGCGGCTCGTGGACTGCACTTTGGCCCACTGCACCCTAAATTTTTTAGGTACATTTTCATTTATTTTGGTAAAGTATGTTGTAAAAATTATTCTCGTTTCACTGGATACACTTTGATGTCATAATGACATAATTGCTACTAGAAAATTGTTTTATCTAGAAAACTGTTAGGCATGTGGGGTAGTACTGTACATGCTGTTTCTTTTCGTGCATGAAAAACATCAAAACTGCTGGAACAAATAGGTTGAGTGATTTCCCATTTAAATGAAATTTTCCATTTAACTAACATTCTTACAATTAAGACTACTACATAACATAAAAGCAGATATTGACAATATTATAAAAGGAAGGCAATGTCAAAAATCTCATTGAATTTATTTTTATTTTGTGTGAGTATAATTTATTTTTTTACTCTCAATAAATAATACAGTATTTTTGTAATTATATATATTTGTTATTAAAAATTGATAATCACATTTTGAACTTTTTTAAAATTATATTTATGTAAGTACGTTTGTGGTCCGCTAAATATACGTAAATTTCTAATTTTGTCCATTAGGAAAACAACTCTTGGTCTAATCAATTTAAAGTCTAAAATAGTGAAAGTGACAGTAAATAGAAATATAAATATTAATGACATTTACATATAAATAAAGTTTAAAACAGAATTAAAGTAGTATTTATTAGCAGTCCTTAAAACGATAAAGCAAAATTTCGAAAAACGAGAAAAAAACGAGAAAAAAAAAAACGAGAAAATTTCAAATGTTTACAGATGACTTTCTCTATGTTGAAGCCAATCTTACACCACAAAGTACTCGAAGTGGCAGAAATATTTTTACGCCACTGAGCTACTAATAGCTCTAACGTGGCTGGATGGCCGAGCGATCAAGGTGGCAACCTACCGCTCTGAAGAACGGATCGAAAAATCCCTAGGAATTTTTTAGGGGGTGGTCCGTTTGGATACGTCGGGGCCCGTCTCTCACCACCCGGTAGCCCCATTGTTGGTTGTGGCCGAACCCATAATGGGCTTCAAAAAGAGGCGCCCATAAGGCGGAAAGAGTTTAAAAAAAAAGCTCTAATGCCCGTAGCATCAGAACTATTGATAGATCAGAGACCAGTATATCTATCGATTCTGTTAATGGTGAGTTTTGGTACATTTCTTTTTACAGAAAAAGCCTGAAATACTATTATACCGAATTTGGTTTGATTTGGACTGCAAAATATCTCTCTAGACAGCATTGAACATGAGAACTTTAATTACGATTACCCAGTATTTTTGTGAGAGTTCACTCACGTGAAGTGTTATAACCATCCAACAAATTTTGTTGTCGTTGGATGTTGCATTACGCATCATTTTCTATCCTTAAAAAAATTTTGCCCAATTACAGCATCCTATATTACAGTTGTCGGAAAATAGCCGCTTAGATTAGTAATTTATATAATAATATTAATTCAATTAACCAAACTGTAAGTTTTAATTTTTGACATGTTTCTCTACTTTAATATTACAGGGCGCTTAAAATGTAAATTAAAGTATACATCCAACGTCAACCAACCATACATTTTCATGTTCCAAGAAAACATAAACACGAGGCGGAATAGCCATCGCGGCTAACGCCCAACCATCTCGCCAGAGGGCGGGTAAGCAATCTAGTAAGTAAAGTTAACATAAAATTAAATTTATATTTAAAGAGATAGTTCATCAATATTTTAAAATAATTATTAAACTAATTAACTATTTAAATAATCCTGCCAATGACAGTTTTAGAAACGCTTTAAGTTATGATAAATTAAAACAACAAACGAAATGTCATCAAGTTAGGTGGCGCTACCATCAAAGTCAGCTTGGCTAGCTGTCGGTTTGTAGTGACTGTCTGAGGAGATAAGGGAAGGAGGAAGGTGTTTGGTCATGTTTTATCCTGTTCAATTACGGTTACGTTACTCAGTTTTACGCATATGTCGATATATAAAACTTTCCAATATCGACTATTAGTATCAACACGTAGTCACAGTCATATGTGGAGGGTATTAACCTTTATAATAGGTAAGTGTTGAACATTGCCGTCGTCTTGCCCGTCCAGATCAGTTTGTGAAGTTTATAATTTATTTTATATAATTTCTGGAAATCTTGTAATCATGTAACGATAGACACTAACTAGACACTGGGATTTTTTTTTAATTTGCATTTACAGGATACAGAGTTCACATGGGATGATGATAACATTTTTGTTCCAAAAACATACTTATTGTTTTAAAAAAAATCTATATTTTTCTAATGAATGAATTATATGTTATGGAATTGTTTCTCATTAATTAATTAATGAGAAACAGCTCCGAACTCATAATGGTATTGTTATCATTAATTCATACTTGTATAAAATATAAGTACAGTAGTTTCAATACAGTATATCTAGAAAGATACGTTGTAGTAACCTACAAACCATTCAAGATATTTCCTAAGTATTAAGTGTATTGGATCAAAATGAAAATTTTCTATTGACATTTATTCCTGATGATAACAATAATTTCCACTGGAATTTCTCAATGTATATCGGAGATTCTAAATATTGTTTATAAATATATTAAACACTACCTGTTCCCGTGCAAATACGTTTCGAAATTATTAGCTCAAATATATTGTAAACATGCGACCCAGCAACTGAATAGGAAAATAAATTAGTTCAATAATTTTCCGTATAATAACATTTTTAACGTTAAAATTTTATAAAGCTTTAATAATTTAATACGAATTTTTTTTATATAAGATAACCGTACTGTTGAAATACTTTTTTTCAGAGGATTATTAAAGTATTCATTGAGTAATTGTACTGTACTGTATTTAATTTTCAGTCGAGGTAATTTATTAAATTTTAAATCTGTTTTTGATATAAAAGTTTATATACAGCTTATATAGGAGTTAATATAAAATTTAGAATTTTAATTATATAATTATTATTCCGGTTATAGTTTGAAATTAAGTAAAATTCTTTTAATTGTTTTATTGAGATTAGGTTGTCTTCTCGACAGAAAAATTCACGCTGTCTGCACGCAAGAAAACTATTTTAAATAAAATGTTTAAAAGATGATTAAATATTATTTATTTTAGTTAATCTCTTATAAAATTTCATTCCGTTACTGCTGAACAAACTTCTTTTTACGATTGAATTTTAAAATATTCCTCCTATTCTTTTAATATTATTTAACTATTTCAGTATTTCAAAATTTTGTAACATGAAATTTCCTGCATTATTAAAAAGCGGAAAAATTCTTTTAAACATTGTAAATTAATTACATTAAGCAAATTTTCTGTAGTGATGTTGACGTTTACTTTATAATTTTTGATAAACATAATTACAGAGGAATTTCATATCCGTTATTTTAATGTATCAAATATCCTATTATCGCGTATCTAAAGGTATATTTATTTATTTTGTTAGCAAATGATTTATGCTACACTTTCTATGTATCAAGTATTACACCTCGGATTCCTTGTGTCGCGTCAATTCGCAAATAGATTACATATTCTATAATATTTATTATTCTATTAAAAAAATGTATAACAGTATTATTAAAAAGTTATTAATGCTTTTATAAAATGTTAAAAAATAAAATCTGTCGTTTATAATTAAAAAATAATAATAATTTGACGAACCCGATAACGATTTTTAGTTTTAATAAAAGTCGGTTTCACAGTTTAATATCCCATATCGTGCCTACAGAAGCGGAGTCGCTACCGAAATAGTTATTAACGTGTGAATGTCTCAGGGTCATCGTGGTCAACAGGTGGAACTGTTATACACGATGACCCACTTGTCATTGAAAATAATTTGACCCAGTGACGTCATTGATGTGGAAAGATGGGAAATGACAAGAGTTGATTTGGATCGACATATATTTCCATTTAGTGAATGAGTTTGGGTTAATTTAATCGTAAAAATGAAACAATTAAAAGCTAATGTTATATGGAAACTTGAAACTATAATTAAAATGTAATTGAAAATTTGCTTATTTTGATTGGTTAGTCTAGAAGATGCTGTTTTACTTCATTGCATCTAATAGATTTTAACGATTGTTGTTTGATGTTAGTGTTTTAATAAGAATTTATATTTTTCTAAAGTATTAATTACTATTTAGTATGGTGCTGTTATATTTTTATATTGAAATCATTTATTAAACACTTGTCAGAACATATGTTAAAGTGGGACATCTGTTTACTGGTATCATTAAATTTTAATTAATGATCGCATGAAAATTGTATTTGAAGTTTTAATTATATTTTTTGAAAGTAGTTATTCAATTTTCTTGTCTTATTTCCTTTCGAAAAATTATTTTTCTGTTTTGATATAGAAAAAGCAGATTACTTCAGAGAAAATATAAATTAAATTCGCAATAATGGTACTAATTTTTTAAAATTTTAACACGGTTTCTTCTTATAACTATTACCCAAAATATTTTAAGTATAACGAATAAGAATAAAAGATAGTAGTATTATTTGGCTGTGCGGTTTGGATTGTTCAGTCTCATCGCGATTGTCGTGCAGTATCGCACGGAAACGGAATTCGCAATTATAACAGTAATCTCGTTTTCAGTATTCAATTTTTTCTTAATTTTTATTAAGAAAAAATTAGTTTTTAATATACGTTGTAATGATAATTTCTCTAATTGGAGAAATTTAAGATCAAGCGCGACGCTCTGAAAGTTCTAGTTCTTAAAAAAAATTATGCTAATCATTTACAATTTTTTGCGATTTCAGTTTGTTTCACTTGATCGATATGCATTCGATTTTCCTTTCTATGCCTATTCGATTTCGCATTTAACAGTTTTTTTGTGTTTTAGTTTTATTTATTGGTAACGCTCAGTCGATCCTGGAGACATTTCTTTCCTTTTATTGTATGTATCGTCTATGAACAGAATGGCACAAAACTAAAAATAGACTAAAAACCTGTAAAATGATCATTTCTCTACCCTTTCCCTTCTAAAGTTTTTAGTTTAATTTGATCATTGCGTATGGTTTAAATTAAACTATGTTCGAACATGCTATAATACCTGTAAAAAATTTTGAAATTACTTAAGTTATAAACATCCATAAACAAAACATTTTTTTCAGTGTTGTATTCAATACTTAGAAGACGTTTACTTAAGTTATTATTTAATTTTAAAATTGTAAAATTTTTGTAACACATTTTAAAAACTTTTTTAATTTTACGAATGATTTGAATCTAATATAAAGGTCGAATATTTTACACTTGAGAGGAGATATCCGGGATCTTCAAATGCTTCACTTGCTTTAAAACTGTAGAATGTACAGTAGGTCTATTCATCGAGATTGCTGCTTCAAAAGTTACATAAGCATATTTGAAAAATTATATATATTAATTTTTTAAACAATTTTTTTCATTTCTGACTGATTTGTGTTTTTCTAGTTTCCATAATGATACCAATATGATGACTATTGTTCCCCAACAACCTGGATTTCCAAGAAAGTATCTACTGACGTTAGCAGTTGGGATCACTTTTGGTTTCAGTTTTGCTTATGTTTTTCTCAATGTTACCTCTTGGGAGAAGCCATTTTCTCTTCCAACTTGGAAATCTTTGGACAGTAAGAATTCATTTCATGATCCTCATAGTCACGAAGAACTGGAAGATGCAGCAGGACCTGATCTACCTGTTTCTTTTCACGGTTCTGAAGAGGAGTTTCACAAAGGTGAGAATTTCTTGCTTATTTTCTACTTGAGTTTCTTGTAAATGCTATATTGTGTCTTTTCCACATGTAAGTTATTTGTGGCAAAGTTTGTAATTCTTTTAATTATTCAAATAAATTGTCTGTTGTTAAGACTAATTATTAATTGAAAATAAGTTTGTTTTTAGTATTTTTTTCTTTCTGAAGGAAATCTTGTTTATTTGTATACTGAGGGGACTCATCTCTATCTGTTGAGCATTTGCTTTAAATTTCAGATGAGCTGTTACAAAGTAATAGATATTTCTTTAATCTTGGCATTTTGATTTTAATGTATAGTTAGGCTAACCGTAATTTCTTGATACTAAAATATTAAGAAAGCCACAGCTGATAAATACAGGCTCTCTTATTAAAATTCTGCCAAGAAATATAGATGAGCATTATTAGAAATTTTTTGGTACATTATTAATATTATTAATATGATGTAGAAAAATACATAAATTTAAAAGCTTTTATTTTCAAAAATCCTAATAATGAAAAAAAAATATTTTTATTGGGCTGTAATTTTCAGATTGCAGACCTAACATTTCCACTGTTGTCTGCTGTCTGTCCTTCATTAATATCCAGAACAGAGGTAGATGATAATCAAGAGCAAGTGTGGAAAGCTTAGAAGCTGGCAGCCCAAATTAACTATATACAAACTTCCATTCTGGACCAGAAGTCTTATAATTTTTTTAATTAATTACAATATGATCTTAAATTTAAAAGTTAGATTGATGTAGCTTTGTTAGGGTCAAGCGAGCATATTTTTTTGATGAATTTATTGTGTCTAATAAATTCTGAATTACTTGCAATTTTATAAAAAAACTTATTGCATTGTAATTCATAGTTTTGCTTTATAATTAATTTAATATTGTTTTAATGGCTTCAATATTTAATTTCAAATTGTTTTTTGAACATGGAAATTCATGAGTGAAAATACTCTTTCTATAGCAACTGTAGTTCCTGGAAAAAAAGGGAATGATACTATAAATTATTAAAATCTTGGAATTCAAGATCCTTTTTGTGCATTTAAGTATTTTGAACCATCTGTCAGCTACATTGTTTTTTCAAGGATTTGGCTATAACTTATTATTATCTTTCTAAGCACTTTGATAGAATGATTAAATTTCAGTGTTTCTGTTTGTGTAATATTAAATTCACTGAATTGCCCATCCAGCAGCATTCTTCAAATTTATGACACTTTAAATGCAGACTAAACATTTTCTAACAAATCACAAATTCAAAATACAATATACAAATCTGTTTAATATTCAAACTAGAGATATAAATTTTTTGATTTTCAAAAAAATAGAAAAAAATTTACTAAAGTGGCTATTTTGGATTATAAAACAAATATTAAATTTTGAATAGTTTAAAGCTATTTGGAGTTGCTTCTACTAAAAGATTTTAATTTGAAAATGTATTATTTCCTTCATTTTATCATAAAACAAAAAGATGTTTAAATGCATTAATTAAGCAAAGCAAATGAGTCTAATTTCATGATATGCATTTAACTTGTTGCTGTTCCTATTTGTAACATAGTAAGATTATTTGCTATTGTTTTTTTGAACATGCACTAAAACATTTTATATCCATCAGTGATCTAGATTGAAATTTTATTTTTGTTGTTACATTTTTTAAAATAAAAAATTTTAAAATTTGAACTTTATTCTAATTTCCTATCTGTACTAGACAACCTGTGGATTAGACACCTCTAAAATTGAATCTGACTTTGTAAACTGATTCACCACCAAAACTTTAGGGAAAAGATGGCAAGAATTTAATCTGAAATATGAAAGTTTCCTAAATATTTAAATTTTTATTTTATTCTTCATTCAATACTTAATACTTATAGTTATACTTAAAATTGACTCTTATTTGCTACTATATATTCAAACTGTTGGCCTTTTCTGAATATTAAGATTAATCTAAAATTAAGAGTTCAGAACTTTAACAATAATATCTAAAAGATGATGATATTAAAGATTTCAGTGCATATTCTAAAAACTGTTTTTTAATTTGAAGAGATCAGATAAAATTTTGTTTAACACATTAAAAGTACTGTCATAATTAACAACATAATTTCTACATAATGTCAAATAGTGTATAATATATAGTTGATTAGGAATAATTTTATTTTTATGGTTATCAGACTTTTAAAAAATTACATTGCAACTATATTAAATTTTTTTGATCAGTGATTAGAATAATGTTGAATTTAATAATTTCAAAATAACTGATTTAGTTAATCTACAAAATTGCAAAATAAAATATATGGATGGCAATGATAAATGTTCTACTAAGCATTAAATTGAGTTTAGCCTAAAAATAATTTTTTTTTCTATTTGAATACAGAATATGGATTTGAGATAAAAAAATATTTTAAACTAAATTATGAAGGATTCGTTTTCCTGTCCATTTATATACATCAATCTAACAAGATTTTGTTTATTATTTTTGAACTCAAACTCTTTTTTTAAACATTAATCAACTCTTTAAATTACTTGTTGGGGTTTGGATAAGAATAATTCTGAAAAAGTAAAACATAACTTATACAATATATTTTCTTTAAAGTTCCAACATATAATATGACACTTGATCATTTTTAACTTTGTGAATTTTTTTACCTATTATTGTCTTTTTTAATGAAGTTTATTCTTCAAACCATTGTAACTGTTACTTCTGTGGTTGTGTTAAGGGATTAAAGGATAGACTCAAAAATGTATATTTTTGTGAATACAGTGGGTGATTGGTTAACAAACAAATCGGATAACGAACACTTTTGTGAAAGATTTTTATGATCAGACAACAAACACTTCACTGAACAAACATAAAAAAAGAAGCGACAAAGATAGCAAATACTGACTGATTTTCCCTTGTCTTCAGGCAACAATTCAAAATTTTTTGGAGCGCTGGAGACGTCAACATCGACGCTCAACCCAGAATATACTGATCAGATAGTATTTCTCCCACTTTGAAACTCTCCCTTGTAATTCCAGCCTTTTATTTTTCTGACAGAAACAATTCTTTTATAGTATTCGCAAGATGTCTGATGTTGCTGGGCAGTATGGCTTGAACAAATCTACAGTAGGATGCAGTTCATGCTTATCTAAGAAAGATACAGTATAATCAAGAAGACTCAAACAGCTAAAGGAGTAACAAAAATCACTTCTGAGAAATAAAGAACATTGAAGAGCTCATACGGAACCTGAAATGGATCTGATGACAGAAGAACACCAAGAAACTCTGTGAGATATGTTTTATTATGAAAAAGAAGATTAATGCTGATATCTGCTATTAATTAAAGATCTTTTAAAGAAGTGGGGGATGTCAGATCAACAGTCTTAGAATGGCATACAAACCAGGTTGAGGTTAATAGGCTTGGTAATCTCTACAATTACAATGCTATTACTGTAATTACTTCTGAATCGACATTAGACAGATTCTTTAACCCCCATAAACAAAAAAACATAACTAATAAAAATGCAAGACTGCTTATATATGTATTTTTATTATTACATATAAATGAACGTAGTAAGAAAGTGTATATTTTTTATTTTTTGGAACTAATTAATTAAATTCCCATACAAACCTATGGTAAATTGATAATCGGTTAATGAACAATCCGGATAGCGAACAAAGTCTTGGAACAGATTATGTTCATTAACCGATTACCCACTGTATTCTTAACTTCAAATTTGAGGAAAAAATATTCTGAGTTATCCTGAAAATTGTAAATATAATATGTGAATAACAGCAGATGTCTGGAAAAATCTGCACAAGTTTGTGTAATGCAGTTTTTATCTGGGAAAAGAACTTGAAAAAAAAACTCTATGAAAACTCTATAAATAGCCATTTGATAGATGATGAAGAGCCATACGTTATCTTTTATTTTTGTAATTCATTATCATTGAATCTGCTTGATTTGACTTTGAGAGTGCAATGCAAGTTTCTGTAAAAGACTTTGGTTCACAATTTTCAGATAGTACTTTATACAATTGATCAGCTGATCCATATTTTTTGCCTTCCATACTTTTTGTAAACAGTTGCTTTGAGAATTTCCCAAAGATCCTTGATTGGCCTAATTTTTGGTATTTTTGCATGGTTGTCTTCTGTTTTGATGGTAGTGATTTATTATCTTCTGAAGGTGGCAGTTTCTTGTTACAGGTAATCCAGTATGATTTTGACATAGTGAGAACTTGTTTGATCTGGCCAGAAGATATATTCTGCTTGAGAATAGTTATTTCAAATATAAGGAATCAGGCAGCAACATATACATTAATTTAAATATCTCTGGATATTGATAGCAAAACTTGATTTTCTGATTAGGGTTTGATTTAATCCTTTTTGTCCCATTGAAATCCAAACAAAACTAAAATCATTAAAGATGATTGAAAACATTTGAAAATTGATAATAAATTTGACTGCAGTTTATAAGGTTTGTTACAATATGCAGTCTACGAAGAGATGAAACCAAACTTTGCTTTCAAATTTCTTTTTCTTGGAAAACTTTACATTGGCAGGTGTAGAGGAAATATCACTGGTATAAAATCCACCACTACCATTGATCATTGAATGCAAGATGGTGAAGTAAGATTCATCATCCAAACTAAATTTTCCAAAAGTTTTCTAAAAAGAGAACTTTTGCAATAACTATCTATTCGCACTCTTTGCCTTTGTCTTTTCCACTGATTTTTTCATGTCCATTCTGTCTAGAATTACCTGTTGCTTTTAATATTTAATGTTTGTTTTCAACATCTTACGGAGCCAACTATGAAATTTTCGGTTTTAGCACTGCAGATTGAATTAAAACCTTGTTGATGTCATGAAAGATCATCATCAATCCCTCCACCTTGGCTTTTGTTAGAATTTTTGCTTTTCTGCTAGATCCCTTTCTTCTCTGTGGTGGTATTCCACTCATGAAACATTAGAGAATCCAATATATATAGTCATTTGCAAAATGGTTTACAGTAAACTTTTCTTGT